GCCCCCTTTCCAGTGCCAAGATAGGGGGCTGCCCCAAGTCTTATGCAAGGAATCTGCTGGAGTTCCTTTCCACGCCAGCGGAGTTTTGAAAAGTGAATTTGCAGGGGTTCGGGGGGGTGCCCCTTCTGCCTGCCAGCTGGGAGATGCCCGGCCTGTGTCCTCCGTGTGGAAGGAACAAACAGGGGCAGGCGGAATGAAAAGAGACCAGGCACTTTCCGGCGGGATCCCAGCTATGGAAGGACTGAAAGCAGCTGCTGCAAAAGGAATTGGTTTCAGACTGAAATACATGAGCAAACTGCCTCACTCTACTCCCAGAAGAAACACCTGGAAGGTGAATTTCCACACATGAATAGCACTTTCTCCCTACCCCTCTCTCAAGGCCTCTGGGATGTAGAATAGTGATAGAAATGTAGCCGTGTTAGTCTGGTCTAGCTGAAACAAAATACAGGACTATGTAGCACTTTAAAGACTAACAAGATGGTTTCTTAGATGATGAGCTATTATTATTAGCTCATCATCTAAGAAACCATCTTATTAGTCTTTAAAGTGCTACATAGTCCTGTATTTTGTTTCTGGGATGTAGGGCAGTTTTATAAAGGTACTAAGGCACTGAGAAGTTAAGGGACTTCCTCAAGGACACATCCCGAGTCTTGCGTAGCACCAGGAATAGAAACCTGGTCCACTACCCAGATTTCTGGCTTAAGCACAAAACCATGCTTCCTCCCTAGTCCAGAAGAAGCATGCATTGCTGTTCAATCGCACTGGTCTTAAAGAAGTTCCCTGTGAGATGCTCCAATTCGGGAGTATACTTCCCTTAATGAAGACTTGCTGACTTCACAAGTGTTTATAGTGCCCATACTGATTCTCAGATGGCAGGTGCACAAGGAAGGCATAGTTATATCCACGTGAAACCTTCTCCTTGTGAGATTTCCCAGACTCTAGCTATTGATGCTTTCAGGAACCAAACCTCAGAACCTTTGGAAGTTCACCCAGTCACTACTCCAGCTGGCTACCCCACGACCTAATGATCCCCATTCCTCATATACAGCTTTTCACCAGTAGAGATTAAAGTGCTTCACCGTCTTCATTGTACTTATCCCGGGAGGAAGGGGCGTATTCGTATCCCCACAGTACAAACAGACTGGAGGCACACAAAGCCAGCTGACTTTTGGGGATCTGTGGCAGAGCAGAATTCTAGTCTAAGTTCTTAGCTAGTGCCCTAACCATTGGGCATTCCTTCTCTCTACGCCAAGAAACAGCAGTGCACTGACAGAGTCAGATAAAAGAAAAGTTAACGAGAGAAGGCACGAGACCTGCAGTGCTATTGTTACTATTCCCAGTGCGGTCACCACCAAGAGGCTCCAAACGAGATCGGGACCGTCCTTAGGCTACATCTACACTGCAGGCTTCTTGGGCAAGAACTGTTTTGCGCAAGAATTCTTGCGCAAAAGGTCTTGAGCAGGAGCGCTTCAACACTGCCGTGTGCTTTTGCGTAAGTGTCTGGCCCACGAAAGCTCATCACCTAATAAACCATCTTGTTAGACATTAAAGTGTTGCATGGTCCTGTCTTTTGTTTCAGCTAGAAGAGACTAACACGACTGCATCTCTATCGCTATATGGCATTGTGGACACTCTCTTGCCCAAGAAAGCTCTGGTGGTCATTTTAGCCATAGGGGTTTCTTGTGCAAGAAACCCCTGTTGCCCATCCACACTGCCTTCTCGCACAAGATGGCTTACTCCTCTTGGGGAGAGGAATAACTTGTGCAAGAATCCCTCTTTTCTGATGCTTTACTGTAAATTTACTTGTGCAAGAACACTCGTGCAGTGTAGACACGCCACAAGTTTGTGCAAGAACAGCTGTTCTTGCGCAAAAAGCCTGCAGTGTAGATGTAGCCTCAGGGTATGTCTGCACAGCAGAGATAAACCCATGGGCCAGCCAACTTGGACTGAGGGCTGTTTCATTGCTGTATATGTTTCCAGGCTTGGGCTGAAGCCTGCGCTGTAGGACCTGTTGGGTCCAGAGGGCAGCCAAGGGTGTCTATCCGCAGTGAAGACACATCCTGCGCAGCTGTGATGGATGCAATCCTGGTAATTGATCAGGGACCATGTTCATGCCTACCCTACCATCTGGGTGATGTAAGTGACAGCCACATACATAAAGCCCCCACAATAAATGACGCATGCATGAGGATGCTTGCATCGGCCCTGCACACAGTCACCAAGAGCCCTTGTGTCCACGCCGTGCGGTGTACAATGAGTAGGTATCTCAGTGTGCAACCCACATTGTCTGTTGGGAAGGCTTGACAATGCGCGATGGGACAGAAATGAGTTGCTCAGGGTTCACCGGGGGCAAGGGTACAACTTGCCCATGTGCAGCTGTCACCCTCCCATCATGTTACCCGTCTCATGACAGCCACCCCTTTCTGTGACAACCCACTCACCCAAATGGCTCTCCTTGCTGTAGCACAAACACAGCAAGCACAGTGATTCTTGATATACCTAAGTACATAACAGCCAGACTGGGTCAGACCAAAGGTCCGTCTAGCCCAGTGTCCTGTCTGCCAACAATGGCCAACGCCAGGTGCCCCAGAGGAAGTGAACAGAAAAGGGACTCGTCAAGTGATCCCTCCCCTGTCGCCAATTCCCAGTATCTGACAAACAGAGGCTACGGGACACCCTCCCTACCCATCCTGGCTAATAGATTCATGGAGGTTAGGTCCATCCATGGCTATCTAGCTCTTCTTGGAACCTCATTAAAGTCCTGCCCTTCACAACATCCTCTGGCAAGGAGTTCCACAAGTTGACTGCGTGAAAAAATACTTCCTTTGGTTGGTTTTAAACCTGCTCCCTATTCATTTCATTGCGTGCCCCCTAGTTCTTAGAATCATAGACTCCTAGGGCTGGCAGGGACCTCCGAAGGCATCAAGTCCAACCCCCTGCCCAAAGCAGGACCAGTTCCAACTAAATCAATCCAGCCAGGGCTTTGTCAGGCTGGGACTTAAAAATCTCCAGGGATGGAGATTCCACCCCCTCCCTAGGGAACCCAGCCCAGGGCTTCCCCACCCTCCTAGGGAAATAGTTTTTCCTAATCTCCAACCTAGACCTCCCCCACTGCAACTTGAGACCATTGCTCCTAAGTGACCAAAGTGACCCAATGCCACACGATTATGGAGAAAGATGTGCCAGTGGGTTATACTGCAAACAAAATGACAATAAGAGTAATGTTTTGCTTACCACATACATGGGTGTCACCTTTTTCTAACCCAGGCCTTAGCGGCAGGGTACACTGTCTGGATACAGGTGACAGGAGAAGGATCACGTGACGATTACCTGTTGTGTTCCGTCCTCTGGGGCATCTGGTATTGGCCACCGTCGGCAGGCGGGATACTGGGCTGGACGGACCGTTGGTCTGACCCCGTCTGGCCATTCTTACGAGGATTATATTTTATGTCCGTTAATGTTAATGAGCTATCATTAGAATCACATTATATATATATATATAAAAAAAAAGAGGTCAGACTGGGAAAATTGAGCTCCCCTTGGGAAACTCCAACAGGAAATATCCCTCTACTGAGGCACACTTGGCGAGGCAGCCATCAGACCTTGAGAATATCATTAAGGATGCAAATAGATTTGTTATGTGTGTGCAGATCTTTATAACATTTCTATATGCTCGGGGAACCATAACTTTGAATGTAATAAAACTTGTAAAACAAACTAGACCTAGCACTTAGACTCTCAGACTCATAGACTTTAAGGTCAGAAGGGACCATTCTGATCATCTAGTCTGACCCCCTGCACAGAACAGGCCACAGAATCTCACCCACCCCTCTTAGAATAATCCTCTCACCTATATCTCAGATATTGAAGCCTTCAAATACTTCGAAGGCCCCAAGATGCAGAGAGTCCTCCAGCTGTGATCTGTGCCCCATGCTACAGAGGAAGGAGAAAAACCTCCAGGGCCTCTGCCAATCTACCCTGGAGGAAAATTCCTTCCCTACCCCAAATATGGCGATCAGCTAAACCCTGAGCATGTGGGCAAGACTCACCAGCCAGACACTCAAAGTTCTCTATAGTAACACTCCTATCATCCCTCCATTGACCTATTTCCAACTGATAATGAATGGTCAATTAGTTACCAAGATCCTGTTATTTCATCCAACCATCCCCTTATCATAGAATCATAGAACTGGAAGAGACCCCAGAAGGTCGTCAAGTCCAGCCCCCCGCTCTAG